TTTTATTAATTGTTGAATTATTATATCAAACGATTGAAAATTTAAAACGTGGATTGTCATAAATATTTCAAACTATAAACAAAAAGCGGGTACGACGTGGATGTCGCTCTGCTGTACAGTAAGTTACTGTAATGGATGGAATTATATTTGAATCCAATAATATTATATCATTGTATACGAAAAACGATTCTGAGCGGAGACGGTTTATCTGTCTAGGATATATTACATACTATATAGATTATTAATAATTTTCATATCATAAATTAAAAAAAAAGATTTATTATAAATTTTTAGTTTAAAATAATTAGCGAATTGTTGTGATTTTTACGTATTTTGTTAAAATTCACTCAAAATATACATATATAAACATATATAATTCGGTGAAAATTTCATGAATCTATGGTCATTTGTTACATCAAAAACCAAAATCGATTTTGTCGAAAACTGATTGTGCKTAAAATTTCCCGTCTTTCCCTTAATTTTTAGTTTGTTTATTCCGATTATTTAGAAAAATATTAAGAATTTTTTACTTTTGACCCCCCAAAATATCAACAAGATTAACTTTCTGATCGAACAAGGTATAGGTACTGAAGTCGAAAATCGAAGCACTTTTACTGCCCCAAAAAATTTGATGATCATGTTAAAATCAATACATTCCTCACTCTGCTCAGAATCTAAAAATGAAGAATATACAAAGTTTTTAATGACATTTTAAGACTAAATTTGAGCTAAATAGATATTTTGTTGTAATTTAAAAATACGATTTTTGGGTACTTGTGATTTTTAAATATTATTATTATATTTTATGGACATGATTTTTTGGAAAAAATTAATTTAACTTATTGTAATTGTATCCAATAGTTAAGTAAATTACTTTAATAGCTATACTACAACAGTGTAAATTTAGGTTAGGAAGCTTAATAGTATACGCTATAGTAGTAATATAACTAATATTATAAGTTGACATACTGCCTTCAATTAAAATCGTTTTTCGTACACAATTATTTGAAATTATTGAATTCAAATTAAATAAACATTTAATTACAATAACTTCTTTTAACACTATAATAATTATCAAAGTGACTTCCCTAGTCTTTTAAAAATATTTTTACTGTATTTAAAATCAAGAGATTTTTATATATAATAATATTTAGTTAGGTTGGTTTGGTTAGTTAATATCGGTATTCACTATTCAATCGTATAATTAATTGAAATTGGAAATTTTTCAATTAATACAATATAGAGTCAAACAAAAGAAACCATAAAAAAATATGAATATAGATATAAATTCAATTTTTCCATCTCATTCTTTGTAGAATGAGGAAACCCTAATAATTTATAATTCGTTCTATATTGTATAGAATGAATAATTTTTTTTTTTAATTTAAATAAACTTGAGAATTATCTCGATGCGTTATATATTTTAACTCAATTTGTGCCATTCTAATTAGGTAATATTTTAAATTTATTTTTGACTTTATACTAGTCTTATCTGTTATTGCATGTATCAAAGTGATAATAGCTAGGACCTAGGAGTCGATTTTAATCATTATTTATTATTACATATATTATTTACACAGAATTTACAAATTAGATCGGATAAATAATAGGTAGGCAGGTACTATAGACGAAAGTATTTTAAAATAATATTTAATTTAATTTAATTTAATTATGATTTAGGTAAATTTTTAAAAATACAATATTGAATATAAACAAGGATAACGAGCGTTCTGTATATCATTTTTTTTGCACTCAACTCACGCCGTTCATACCTAATATATACACCTATGATCATCATAGAGTATAAGTGTATAAGTTAAAGTTTTTAAATAGATTTTTAGAATAAATTGGGATAATATTTTATTAAGACTCAAGGTAGGTAACACATTTTTAGAAACAATATAGTTAGGCTATTGAATATTATGTTTAAATTAATATTTTGTATAGTAGGTTTTAGCGCTACGAATCTAAAATGACTTTCCAATTGTTTATGAGTTTTGACTGACCTTCCTGAACTTGTTTTTGTTGTATTCCACATGCGTGAGACAGAGAAAACAAACCATCGTATGATGTCCACTTAAGGTTGCAAAAAACTGTTGGACAATAATTTTTATAACGATGACAAATGTGAGATTTGGGTTATACTGTAATATACATCTACAATATTTTATTTATTTTATATATTATAATAGCCAGTTTTCACCAATTAATTTTTTGGGTGGATGCGTTTCAAATACATAATTTTTGTTCATAACCTATGTAATTTTTCTAAGCACATTTAAAAATACAAGTTCCGGTATTTAGTGCACTGAAATCCGCTCAGAATTGTTTTTAGAATTGTATTATTTAATAATTTATCTGATAATAATTTATATTACTTTCAATAAAAAGTAAAACAACATAAAATAAAATATTAGCATGGTTTGCTTTGAGGTGAGTGAAGGGAAATTAATGCCTAGCACCCTATCTATGGAAGCTGTAGATAGCTATGACGTACTTACCTAATTTTGACAACATACGTAAAAATCACGAAAATTCGCAAATTATTTTAAGCTAGAAATTCATAAAAATTTTTCTTTTTAGATCTAAGATTTGAAAATTTAATACAAGGTTCCTAACATATTTTTACAATAGAAGTTGAAAAATAAAAGAAATACAGTCACAATTTTTTTTTAAAAGCATTTAAAGTTCAAATTTTGACTAAATACGTAAAAATCACGAAAATTCACACATTTTTTTAGCTAGAAATTCATAAAAAAATTTTGTTTTAAATCTAACATTTGAAGTTTTTAAATAATCTATAATATATCCTAGACAGATAAACSGWCTTCGCTCAGAATCGTTTTTCGTATACAATGATATAATATCATTGGATTCAAATTTAATCCCATCCATTACAGTAACCCACTTGTATTTATTCATTAATAATTGTAAATCATTTTAAAATCATCACTGTTTTTATTATAAAAAAAAGTTTTTTATTAGTTTTGACACGTTTTCAAGAATTTCGTTAATAAAATCATCACTCACATTGTTTTAGTTATCGTGTGTCATTTATATGCAGTATATTCTACTATACTTACATTAGTGAAAACTGTGTAATAATTTTTAATTTTATATTTCTACATAAGTTTTTCAGTGATTTTAGCACCGCAAAATGTTACAGAGTTCAGGAGAAGTTCTGTTTTAGACTTTTAGTACCTTAAAATTATAAAAACTAAAAAAAATAACTTATTGTGATATTTGTTCACATTTTATTACAAATATTAAATAAATTTCGTAATGCATAGTTTTTACTTTTTCAGAAACACAATCACTTATTTATAAATTATAAATTATAACATAAATTTAAAACTGTAATATTCTATACTCTATAATTATTATATTGTATGTTTATAATTATTAGATTTTTATGATTTAAATTGCTCGGGAACTTAAAAAAAAAGATTTCAGATTTGTATTAAAATTTAACTATTGTCCACAGCTAATGTTAATAATCAGTCGATGTTAACTGCAGTTAACATGTTAAGTATAATTTTGTTTTAAATTTGGAAAAAAACTGAAATTTCATTATAGTTAGTAAGAATCAGATCTTACAAAAACGAGTAAGGAATACAATATGAATTTAAACAAACACGACATGAGTATCAGAGTAGACAATATCTATATAGCCTGTCCATTCGAATTCAGAGACATATTGAACATTTGAACTTACAGATATTTTAAATTTAAATACACGATTAAAGTTAATACATATTAAAATGTATTTAACTGTATAGAAACGTAAAGCACAATATTATAATAAATTAAAATCAAGTACTTAGTATTAATATTTTAATATATAAAGATGAAAAGCGGTTAGTTAACCAAAATACCTATTATTATATATTTTATGAACGTTAAACACAAAAGAATAGTAAGATACATTTTAATATTTTATTACGGCAAAATATTGATTTTGGTCAGTAGTTCTTAAATCTTATTTATCAAGCAAATAAATTATTATCAAAATATTTTAACTATAACTGTACTATAATGTTTTTTTTATAGTTTCAGAGTTATGTATATTTTTATAAGAAATATACTATTTGTACCATGAGGCATAATAAGAATATGGGCTAATTTATAGTGACATAATGAATGAGTTGTTGGAAGAAGCTACCTAGTAGCTAGTAGTGACACTTCATATTGACTATTTTTTTACTACTCTTTAATCATTTGTTTTTTAGTTGTTTAGGAGATCTCTGCACCATTTGCTTTTTAGTCGTCGGTGAGGATTACCAGAAATTTCATTTGATGCTAATAAATGCATGAATTAATGGATTTGTGTGGACTCCGAGACGATCATGAAAACGCTTATAGAAGTATTTTGTTTCTTCTTGAACGGTTTTTAGACAGAGATCGGTGTGAAGGGTGTGATTTTATATTTACGGGGGATATAGTCTGTAATTTTTCTTAATATAATATTTTAAAACGTTTGGATTTTTTTAAGATTTTAGATTTTGACATTGTCCCATAGTTGTATATCGTAGGTCCATATAGGTTTGAGTAAGGATTTATAAATTAGTAGTTAAGTGTTTAAGTTTGTGTCTGTTTATTATTAATGAGGAGTGTTTTAAGCATGCGTAGTCGGGAATTCAGCTGCAACCGTTTAGTTTTAATATGGTGTGCCAAGTGAGACGGCGATCAACTGTTAGTCCGAGATATTTAACCGTAGAGGTTGAGGGAATTTGGATATCATAGAGATTTATTGCCAGACATTGGCCTTGTTTGAGGGTGAATGTTGTATGCATTTTGGTTGACTTTAAACCGCCATTTTCTGTATCAATCCTCCATTTAAGATATATGATTTTGAAGATAAGTGGAAGTTAAAACATGGTCTGTTACTCTGTTCTAGTTGATATTATTGTAAATAATTATTAATACCTAATAGTAACTATAAATCGTACATTTTTATAAAATATAAATATAATTTTAAATCATTATTTAATATGTTTCAGCCTAAAGCTTTATTTTTCACTTGCATGGACAGCCGTATGTTGCCTGCCCGATTTACTGAAACCAACATTGGAGATATGTTTATTGGTTAGTATATGTTATATAACTCAGGAGCAGCATAYATTATAATTTATTTTAGAATACATCATTATTATTATTTTTAGATTTTTTAACATTAGATGCTATTCAAATCTTTAATATTATTTTGGGATTCTTTTTATATTTATTACATTTTTAATAAGGGAATCATATAATATCAAGAGTTGACTGTAATAATGTAATATTAATATAAGTATTATGATTTATGATATGTAATCAAAATTAATAACAGTGATGATTTACTTATATACGTTTAACATATAAATTAATAAATCATTGACTCATCTCGTGATCTACAATAAATAAATTCACTTAATCAATTGTATATTTGTAATATATTAATTAGCAATCACATTATTAACTAATAAGTTATATGCATATTTACGTCCATGAGGTGTTATATTGCGATGTATTAATGAATATATAATATATTTTAAAAATTTTATGTTATGATATTTAGTTCGAAATGCTGGAAATTTGATTCCACATTCGCAGCATTTCCTAGACGAATATACTACATGTGAACCAGCAGCCTTGGAACTAGGATGTGTACACAACGATATAAGGCATGTTATCGTTTGCGGGCATTCTGATTGCAAAGTAATGTTATTTTTAAAAATAAATCCCTGTAAATAAAAAATATTCATCTAACATCAAAGAATTAATTAATTTTAAATACTCACTTGTTTTAACTCAGAACCAATACAGTAGGTATACCTAATTGAATTTTAGTAAATTCGTTAATATTTTTTGTTATATATTTAGTTTCTATTCTGTCAATTTAGATAAATTATTCAAGTTTTATAGAATTAAATACCTATTTTACAGTTTTAAATATTTTAACCAAATATCAAAATTTTTTCTATTGACATTTAATTCAAAACATACAACATTTAAAATGTCAAGTATTATTTGATTATGTTTAGTGCATAATAAATATCGTAGGTTCTTATTTGGTGCTGAAAATGAGATGCTTCATCTAGGTATCTTAAAGTATCATGTCCGGTGATTATATAATCACTATTTTGTAATCGTATTTTAATCATTGGATAAAAGGTAAAGTCATTTTATAAAATCTGTTCGATTGCACCGCACCACGTAGTCCATGTTACTAATCAAATTGGTACTACAGTCTTCAAAAATCCTGATTTATTGATGTCCGTTGTGGTTTGCTACATATCCGGTTGTACTATACTGTTTGCAGTATTTAGATAATAGTTATAATGTGYTACTCCTAATTTATTGGTGGTCACTAACTACTTATTAAATAGTATTACAGTACAAAAATTGTATTTAAATCTAATATTTTTTTTTCAGTCATTTTCAACAGCCTTACTAGTTATAATATGTTTTTAAACTTTTTTAAGCACAGATTTGTTTATTTTTTATTTTATCTCATCCATTCCCTTGTTATTCGTTAATGTATATTTATTATTTACTTATAACTGTTAAGCTATAATAATTTTATATTAATAGCTTTTATAAAAAAAAAAATTTAAAACTTTTTACAAACATAAAAAAAAATATTTCCTTCAGAATTATTATCGATGAAATTTATATTTTACTTTTTTTATGTTGTATTTTAATGTAGAAAACGCTGATAATAACTTTTAAATAAGTAGAAAAATAAAATATTGTGACATTTTCCATCTATGAGTTAAAATAAAAGATTGGAACGGATTTTATTTTTCCGTCGCTGTTCATTAAGGAAATAAATGATAATTATTAATATTATTAAATAATAGTTTATTTCATGGTGGGCTTTGTTATTATAACCAAATATCAATTAAAGAGTTCATTTAATTCTTAGGCAATGAACTTGTTGCACCTGCTCAGGGACACGGAATTTGCTAGCATCGACAACCGTCGGATGTCGCCACTTCGATCATGGCTCTGCACGCACGCAATATCATCTTTGGAAAAATATMAACAGCTAGAGGCTGCAGGTTTCGACACGCCACTCATTTTTCAGGCCGAGACGCCCTTACGCAGAATCATTGCTTACATTGATCCGGAAGACAAGTTTTCCGTTACAGATAAGTTATCACAGGTATGTATTGTACTATCTATAATTATTCTGGTTTTAAACTTCAGTATACATATTAAATAATTTTAAAATTAAATGTTGATTCGTATGTAATAACTGTTTAGCAATATAGCAATAAATTAGCTTTGGATATTAATAGGTACGCTTTTAAAACGTTGTTTTACTTACTCATTTGTTGTAATATATTGTTTTATTCTTGTACCAACAACCAACATTTTTAGTAAATCTTAAAAATATGTTTACAAGTTTACAGTAAAATATTTTTTTCAGTTATGATTAATGAATAACTTTTCTATACTTGGGATTAGAATTTTACTATGTCAAGCTTTTTTTGATGATTTAATTTTTTAGCATGATGTCAATAATCATATAACATAAATAAATTAGTTTACAAATTAAAAATATATTTAATTTACTATTATTATTATTACTTTTTTTTTATTGATCTTATTAAACCCGGTGACTAGGGCCATTATCTGTTGTAGGGGTTATGAACTGTGGTAAGGGTAATGTTTTGGTACGGTAATTTGTTTTTACGGTTGTTATGGACCGTAAGCCCCCCACGGCTTTGTATTCTGAAAATTATCTGGACCCTCCCCATGACAAATTCCTAAATACGCCACTGGTTACGTTAGGTAGCAAACAGGTGTATGTGTGGCAAGATTTTTAACTACTAAGAACCCGGGTGGTCACCCATCCGGGAGCTAGAAGCTGTGGCCGTTACTTACTCCCAGTCGCATTCCGCGATTGGTAGCAGCTAATGCGCCACGCCAAGCCACACTATTATTTTAGTAATAGGAGTTTTAGGTATTATGATTTATAGTGGATCCCTAATGAATATTATTATTTGTATTATATTGGTCTTACCATTATGAACTATTAAATCTTATACATTTCTACATAATATCATATAACACTACAATCATTATAGATGGTAACAATAGTAAATAATATAAATTGACATATTGTGTATTTGTGTTATAGGTTAATACCCTACAGCAGATGCAAAATATTGCCAGCTATGGTTTCCTTAGGAAACGTCTAGAGGCGTATGACCTGCATATACACGCTCTTTGGTTTGACATATATACTGGGGATATATACTATTTTAGTAGACAGAGCAAAAAATTTGTTGAGATAAACGAACAAAATGTGGATAAACTAGTGGAAGAGGTTTCTAAATACTATTGCTAAGTTTAATGTGAAGTTTATACGTCCTTCGGCAATTCACAACATACTCATACGCACGCACATGCGAAGACTTAACTTGGTTTTTAATATTAATTAAGATTCAAGACTATGAAACAGAATAATATTACTATTATACTATTTTTAATACATTCCAAAACAACCATTCCAATATAATAATAAACATATTACCGTACTTAATTTTATTTTATAAATCTACCTATAACTGGTATTGTTAATTTTTAATCAAAGGGTAATCTCCGTATTATTGTATAAAGTTATCTTTATTTCTCTTATATTATATATATTTATTGTATTTAAATTGTTATTATTGTTAAAATCGTATGATATTTGTGAATATTTTTTTGTCACCAATAAAATACTAAGAGAAATGACGAACGTGTACTACAGTGTGTTTAATGTCAGGGAAATACTATAGAACAGCCGTCCATGATGTGATCATTGTTTTTTGAATATGCTAGATAAGTAGAGCATGAAAACTTCAGCCAAGATGCTGCGTGAAAGAGAAAGCAAAGTCATTTCTTTGTCGTGGTTTTCCACACCATGGTGTATTCTTTTACATGATTTTTCTGGTCACGGTTGTCGCGCTGGAAGAATACAGATTTTCCAATGCGAATGAGTCAACTCATCAAGGGTCCTCGTATAAATGTATATTACATTGGTTGTTACAATGAAATAAGAAGAAACCATTTTTGTCCCAAATTTTTATTTTAAAATCCTCTTGTCGTGTAGTAGGTACAGACGGTACAGTGGTGTTTAAGTCCTAAAAATCTAGTAGGGAGAAAAATATTTCAAAAGGCCCAATGTCATAATATCAACAAAAAAGATGTACCGTGTAGAGGAAAGTGGTCACTGGTCAATATGAATCGGCTCTATCCTAAATTTACAAAATACGTCGGGGCTATGGCCCGCACTGACGTAGGGTTCGGCGAAACTGGGTATGTATTATGGGCCTATTTCAATATCTTTAAAGTTTAATTAAAGATTTGAATAAATTTAGAAATGCATTGTATAGATATTATAATCAATGGCCTGAATGGAAACGAAAAAATGGTAATCGTACTTATAAATATAATAATATGTACTTAGGCAAACATTTTCATATCCACCTAACTGATTTTATGTCAAGAATTAAACAGTAAATTGAATTATAGTCTGAAAAATAAAAAAATTGTTGTTATAGCAAACAAAGAATATTTATATTTAAAAAAAAATAATAATAATAATATTAAATTTAACCTTGTTATTTAAAATATCTATAATCAAATATAATCAGTTTCGATAGAAATTTTAAGTGCTGATTACTATTTTCAATTTTGTCATGATAAGTTAATTGATCGTAAATTAAAACAGAACATAATAATTAATAATATTATAGTCATATAGGTGATGGGCAATCAAAATATTAATGTTTGAAGATTCCTAGTCCGATATAATGTCTATCATCATTAATTATTAAATATTTAACATATAAATTAGTAGGTGTTTTTAAGCAGTTATTTTAATGTAGGTATTTCTCTATATAGAATAGTTTATGTATTGCCACGTGGCCTATATTGTTCAACCTCGACGTGTCATGACTATAGTTTGTCATTAGCTTGTAAGTACTTATTCAACAATTAGTGCATTAAATGCATAAAATAAACAATTAAATTTTCCATAGTTACCTATAAGTTATATTCAGTAAATAAATTGTAATTTACTAAACGTCACTTATAGAAGTTTTAACAATTATTTATAATATATTATATTATTATAAGTTATAAATCACAGGCTATTGAATATTATTTTCACAAAGCATTAAATAAAAAATCGAGCAAGTAGGTAATCGCTCTGCTGTACTGTAGGTGTCGAGTGAACTTCGTCATTGAGTAGGTCAGTGTAATGGATGCTTACAATTATTTCAGTGATAAATCATTATATTACACGAAACACGATTCAATTTGAGTTGAGAAGTCGCCAGCCTATATTATTATCGATACTATATTTTATTACCTGTTTTATTTTTATATCGCTATTTTAAGTAGAAATTAATTTTACTATTTACTACTTGTACTGTATGATGAATATTCACCTAAAACGTTTCACTTATATTTTGTTTTACTATTAATTTATATTAAAATAGTTCATACTACGCATCACAGTATAAGTAGGCAAAAGTTTATCTAAATATTTTGAAAACGTCAGTATATTAAGTATGTTAAACATAACTAATATACGTATACATAAATAAATCGTTATTCTTCTTTTAAATGACCAATTTAGTCAAAATTTGAATTTTGAATGTCTATAAAAAAAAACCCGTGAATATAGAATTTTTAGAGTTGAGTTTCAGAAATAACTTTTTATGAAGAATTTTAAAATTACATTTTCAAGCCTCAGATTTAAAAATAAATTATTTGTTACATTCTAATAATACTAAAATAATTTAAAAATTTCGTGATTTTGACAAATTTTGTAATGATTTTAATTTCAAACACTCACAAAAATTGATTTAAGATAAACGCTTAAATTTTTTTAAGACTTTTAACCTTATATGAATTTTAGATTTCGAGCGAAGCGATGAATTTATTGATTTTATAATGATATGTGCAGTATATAGAAATATGTGAAATTTTACAGTGTATTTTATTATAAATCTATATTTACAATTTAACAGATATTCGCCTATTATACCAGTGATGCTTAACTCACGAAGGTTTTCCTTGTGGCCCGTCACAATTTGTTGAAAACACAAAATATTCGAAAAAAAGGTAAAATTATTACAAAATACGATTTTTATTGATTTATGAATTCTTTTAAATATTCCAAAAAATCAGTAATCATCATTGTATTTGCGGCTATTTTCTGTCGGACATTTTAAAATAGAAACTTTATGATATAATATTTATATCAGCCGCAAACGGTGCATTGAAAAGAATGTGGTACGTCCTAATTAGTTCCTGGGTTATTTAAAATTTTAACTTTTTTCATAAATGTAATTTTTATTTTTTATTATAAAGTRTAAAATTAATCATATGTTATTCGTTCATTTCTCAATTTTGAATATCAATTTTCATGTATTATGGGAACCAATTCAGATGCAGCTATGAGCTAAGAGTATACCACTGATCAAACTAATTCGTAATGCCAATGCATACCTTCAATGTGTACCTACCTACTTCAATTTGTAATATTTTCAAAATTGAATACTGAATAGTCAATAAAATGTAATAAAATAAACAAGTCCAATATGTACCTTAATTTATATTGTACTTATATATTTGTACATTATGTGTAACAAAATTAAATTATGAGATTAAAATTGAGTTTATTCGTATACTTTTATAATTGGTGTAATGGTGTGCTGCTCGAAGATATAGATAATTGTTTACCAAAGCGGCCCGCCGAGGAAAAAAAAAGTTGGGCATCACTGAGCTCTACTTATATACAGCCATCGCTGATGGTTAACCGCAATCGGCTTAAGTTTGTCCCATTTAATTTTAGACCTTCAAATCATCTTCAAATTTCGCACTGGGCCACCCCTGCACCGACTAACAGCTGGTCGCTCACACTCGATACAATAATTCACATATATATATATAACCTTATAGTGTTATGTATAGTGTATATATAGCTATATGTATAACACTGTTTGATAGTATTAACCACATCTTCCGGTCAACAGTTCTTACATCAATTTTATTTTCCCACGACGGGCTGAGGCGAACGAGAGTTACTGCCATCAGTGCCATCATATACCAATACAATAAGCCGATATGGCGAGTGTATCTTTATAGTGTACAATTTTCTATTATATATTACCTATAATTTACAATACAATATCAATAATTATGATATTATAATATCGAAAAAACTACTGTTGTATAACACACTGGTCGTTTGAGACAACCTTTTGGTGCCGTGTGAGGGGGAGGGGGGTTGTCGAAATGATCGAGAAGATCTGCAGTCGGAAGCGTCTCGTCGCCCGTCGCCCGTCGTTGACCCGTCGGGTGAACGGTCTCTCTCTCTCTCTCGCCCCCCTCTCTCACTCTCGTTCTTTCACCGAATCCGTCGCTCCATCTTTCTCTCCTGAGCGGAGGTGCACATCGCGGGCGCGGGTACGGGCAAAGGTCACACAGGCCATTGCACGCAGCCGCTCGTCGTATACGTGTGGGGTACGCACACGCAATGGATCCGTACGGTCGTACAGATGATGAGGCGTAGCGGCGGCGAGGGCGTCAGAGTCCTGTTGACCTTGATTGGCGGCTCAGGATTATATTATTGTGTCCGTCGTTGCCGCACGCGTACACGCTCACACACGAGACGACGAGACGTATACACACACACACACACACACACACACATACAAACACAAACACGCATGTAGGTTAATGCCTTGGCCTTCTTCGTATATATACATAATATTATATAGGTATAAAAGTATTGTAAATAATATGCACACACACGCACACGCGTGCTTACACACTCACACACACACAGCACACAATGCCTATAATATTGTATATGTGTGTACACTACCGCGGCGGCGGCACGCAAAGTCTTGCGTGGCCTACATATAATGATATAAACATCGTGTGCACTGCAGCAGTGCTGCGCTGCGGACACGATAAGATTTTATGCAAGCGCAAGTGGGGGAAGGGGGAACGACGATGGTCGCTGCACGTGGTCGCCGAACGCGATTCTCAGTCCCGATCGTAGGTATATTTTTTAATATCGTTTCATTCGTTTTTTAAATCTCCAAACTCGCTCCCGCCATAAACGCGTTGTTTTGTGTTTATTATAACATATTTATTTCTATCCGTACAAACTTGTTTTCCCGCCACACTATTACCTATATCGACGAAAAAAAATATGACGATCACAGTAACAACTGTTGTCGGCAGAGACGTCATATTTAGAGGGGAATGTGGAGGGGAGGTGTAGTTCACGATTGATCCAAATGACACTGTTGTAGGAGTAAAGGACCATTGGAAGTTTTTCGTGAACTTGTTTCAGTTATTTTGAATGTATGAATACTTTAACCATTCAATGCAGTTATTATTATTTACTCAACGTCTATAAATACTTTGAATGATCTGAGCTTTACTTTATATAATCATTACAAATTAATATACTATTACACACACCTACT